TAGGGAAGGCAAATGGAATGCTGAGAATTTGTTTCTCCATGTGGGAGTGTCTAGGACCAGTGGGCATAATCTGAGAGTAAGAGATTGCCCAGTTAGGATAGAGATAAGGAGGAAGTTCTCTGCAGAGGCTTGGTCGTTAAATATATTCAAGACTGAGTTAGATTTTTAATCAGGAAGGAAATCATGATTATGGAACAAGGCAGGAAAGTGAAGTTGAGTGTTACCAGATCAACCATAATCATGTTGAATGGCAGAGCAGATCTGATAGGCTGAATAGCCTATTTTAGCTCCTGTGTCTTATGGTCTCATAGTGGGCTTTGGAGTTGGAAGTCGAATGTCAGTTGAGATAATGAGGTGGAACTGTGTTGACTGCTTTCACATGCTTTTCGATAACGTACGGCAGGGTATCATGTAGATGGAAAATAACATTGGGTCTAAGGATAAATCTTTGGGCGAACTGGTGTGGGAGTAGGAAGAGACACCTTTACAAGTGATTCTCTGATTAGAGATGCATTGATAGGAATGAAGCTGAGTTAATGTAACCCTACCCAGACTGATGAAGGGGAGGTGTTGGAGTGTTATTAGATCAACCATAATCAGGTTGAATGGCACAGCAGACCTGATAGGCTGAATAGGTAAATATGAAGGCAGAATTGTAGGTTGGTCATAGGGTTGTTACAAGAAAAGCAAAGGACAGAATGTGTGAATGTCTTACTATACAAAGAAACCATAAACATGTAGGAAAACTCAATAATGGAACAAACTTAAAGGTTTGGTATCTTAATACACAAAGCATTTGAAATAAGATGGACAAACTGATGGCACAAATCAAAGTAAATGAATATGATCTCATTCCCATTATGGAAGCATGATTACAAGGAGATCATGCACTTAACATTCAGGGATATTTAAACTTTTGGAAAGATGGGAGGGACAGAAAAGGTGGGGTGTGGGGTAGCACTATTATTAAGAAATGAAATGAGGACAGTTGTGAGAGATGATCTAGGCTCAGATGATGTAGAGTTCATTTGGGTGGAGGTTAAAAAGAAACAGCAAGGGAAAGATGTCAGTAGCAGTAGTGTACAGAGCCCCAAGCAGTATCCACTGTGGGAAGGCTATAAATCAACATATAATAAGGAGCATGTACAAAGAATAAAGCAATAATTATGGATGACTTTAACCTTCACGTTGATAGATTTATCGAATTGGAAAGGGTCGCTATGACAACAAATTCATAAAATTTATTAGGGATTGTGTCCTAGAGCAATGTCATGGAGTTAACTAGGGAAGAGGGGGTCTTGAACCTGGCTATGGGTAATGTGGCAAATAATTGACCTCCAAATAAAAAATCCCAAGGAAGTAGTGATCATAACATGATGCATTTAGCATTCAGTTTAAGAGTGAGAACTTAGGTCAGAAAAAATTGTATTTAACTTAAATAAAGTGAAATAAAATTACATGAAAATAGAGTTAGTTAAGGTGAACAGAGTGGATAGATTAGCAGTAATGACAGTAAGCAAGCAGTGGCAGACATTTGAGGAGGTAATTCATGACTCTCAGCAAAAATATTTCCCTGTGGAGAGGAAAAATTCTAAGAAAGGGATAAACCAAACATGGATAACCAAGGAAGTTAAGAGAGTATTAAGTTGAAAGATAAAACAAGTAAGGAGGCAAAAATCAGTGAAGACGATTGGGATAAACTCAGATTCCAGCAAAGTAGTACTAAAAAGATAACAAAGACAGAGAATAAACTACAAGGGCAAAATAGTGAGGAATTTTTTTTTAAAATCTGACAATACGAGTTTCTTTAAATTAGCTTCGTTAAATTCTTTAAATATAAAAAGGAAATATAAAAAACGAAGAGAGGAGTCAAAATGAACATAAGGCTGTTAGAAATGAATCTGGTGAGACAATTTTGGGGAACAAGGAAATGGCAGAGGAGTTAAACAGATATTTTGCAGTCAAAGATACTTCGAACATTCCCATCATGGGAGTGTTTAGGACAGGAGGCATAATCTCAGAACACAGGAGCACCAATTTAAGATGAGAGGAGGACGGTCGAGTATTCTTGGAACTCCTTGCCACAGAGATGGGCAGAGTCCTCATGTATAATTAAGGCTGAGATAGATACTTGATCAGTAGGGGATTCAAGGGTTATTGGGAAATGGCAGGAAGGTGAACACAAGGAATATCGGATGAGCAATGATCCTATTGAATGGCAGAGCAGCCTCGAGGGGCCAAATAACCTACTGCAGTTCCTATTTCTTAGTCACTAGCCTTCATATTCAGTTCATCTTGTCATTTCTGTCATCACTAAATACAACTTCCTCGTCATTCACCTTTCTAAATTCCAAAAAGGACTGATCCCTTCTGGAAACCCTGATCCACTTGACAAACACATCTAACATGTTTGCCTTGCCACAAGATCTTCCCAAACACACCCACATCTTTTCTGTAAGGACTATAAAGCATCCTAAACACACTTTTCAGGTGCAGGTACTACAGCAATTTATTTTATTATGCTGTAGTCAGAGTATGATGCAGTCTCAACTTTGACCAATCTGCATTATCAGTGCTCTTTCTGCATTGCGAATAAGCTTCCACCTCTTGCCAATTTAACTCTCCATCCAACTATGACCCTAATGACCCCAGCTTCCTACAGCACTTCAAAAGTTCAAAAGAAGTTCAAGAAACAATAATTCATCTTTAAATCAGGTACTTTACAAACTTGCAGGGTTCACCAACTTCGGATCATAACTACATACCCTGTTTTTTGGGGACAGCAGATGCTGAAAAGGGCGCTCCTGTTGCAATTTACATTGCTTCGAGACCCATTTGTTTACATATGCCAATGCCACCTAAATTTATTGTGCACCATCATCCTTTTGCCATTTAGTAAGTTTCACCTTTTACACATTTGCAGATTTTCACTTTCCATTCTTTTCCCCCCAACTCCAACCCCTCCACCCTGACTCTATATATTCTAACGCACTAAATCTCTATTTCCAGGTCTGGTGATTGCTCATCAACAAGAAAGGTTAACTGCTGCTCTCTCCCGACGCTGCCTAATGTGTCAAGTTTTATAAATGTGAGGTGAGATGTGTAATCTGTAAATAAAATTGAACTAATACTTGTAACTTACAGGTCACATCAGTTCTTTTGTTTACGTTTAAAGCTTCAAGAGTTTTAAACCCAAGCTGCTCCTAACACCCATTCCATTTTAGCTCTTCCAGACCTGTTGGCTGTGTTAGTGTCTGTGCAGGGAATGCCTGGTAGGGTGCATAGGGTTCAGCTAGGACTTCTCACAGTATTTCTCATTCCAGCTCCAGCCATCAATCCTTTGACACGTCCATAGCACTGGTGCCTGGTGAATGCTTGTTTTGGATGACTGATGTTGTAAATATAACTTGTTGTCCCACAACTGAAGGGAACATGCACTGGCTTCAATAAGACAGTTAAAGCAAATACTTTTAAAAAGTAAGACATACACAAAATTTAAAAATAATAACACATTGATAACTAAAAAGCTGCAAACCATACAATTGACAAATATATACACATTCACAATCAATAATGATCAGACAAGTAGAATTATAAACAGTTTATAAGCATTTAATTTTGCCCAATGGACATACACAAATGCATTTGTAAATAACAAATCAAGTAAATTAATTAACTACCACATCTGCTCACAAAGACATTAAAAGTAGTTAATGCCTAATTCACTCAAGCACGAGATAGATTGATCTAACTGACAAGATGATGCACATAAGTAGATTAACATGATACACCCAAACCTTTCTCTGTCAAACATTCAAGTAGCATTGAGGTCCAGGCAGCCTTTTGCTGCATGCTAACTGGCCTCAGAAGATAATGCCAATTCAATTTCTCTACCTCAGGTGGAGCGGAGGTCATCAGAGGTAAGATTTTTAAAAACACTTTCTGTAAAGCATTTATAGATGCATTGATACAGTTCTTGCAGAATAAAGTTAGAAATTGAGACTTATAAACTAATTGGCAACCATACAGGTCAAGGCTTGAAAAAAAATCATGACTTTTTTTTTAATAACTCTTGATAACTCAAGCATCTTTTGATATTTACAAGATTTTTGTGATTCAAGAGATGGTGGGAGAAAATTAAGACTTATTTAGACTGGTATGGTCAAAAACATAGTTGAGCCATATTTATTAATGGTAAATGTACAACTTTGTGATATGACATTACAGAATGCTACAGTTAACGTTACATATATGGATTTTAAAAAGGTTTTTGATAAAAGTACCATTAAATTGATTGCTCACAAGATTGAAGCTCATGGGATAAAAGGTGCATGGAAGCTTGGATACAAAATCAGATGAAGGACAGAAAAGTTGTTTTGTGGTGAACAGTCACTTGTTTTTTTGCAGATGTAAAGAGTGATATTCCTCAGTTCAGTATTTAGACCACTGATTTTTTGTTACACAATAATCATTTTTGATACACATTGATTTGTGCCCTGTACCCAAATCAAAATGTGTAGATGATAGTAAACCTAGTGTGGTAAACAGTGAAGAAAATAGTAATCAGACTTCAAGAGGGCATAGATATGCTGGTGGAATGGGTGGCCATTGCAGGATGAAGGGGAAATGGGCTGGTATTGGGATTAATGAATTTCTCTTTAAAGAACTGGTGTGTATTCTATAGGGCATATGGCAGCCTCCTCTGCAGCTCTATAATGATGCTACTGGCTGAAATGGTTCTAAATTCTGAGATTACACAATTTTTTAAAGAATTGACAGTTTCACTCAAAGACCACAACTTGGTAATATGGAAAAACGTAATTTCCAAAGTTTGCAGCTGAGGTTTTACTCCCTACCTAATCGACAGACTACTTAATGTCAGGATTAATATGCTGTATCAAGTGCTTGAGATAGAAAGTACAGCTTTTTGCTTAACTTGGCATTCCTCACAGTACAACTTACACAGTTAAAAACAGAATTAAATAAGGCAGGAACACTTGTTTTAGTCTGTTCAGCAGTTTATTAACACATGATAGAACGATACAAAATCTTTACATGTATCACAGCAAGAACCAGTTGCATGGATACACAAGGTATCCACTGCGTCTGTAAGACTGGGCTGCAGGACTGCAGCAAGTGTGGCTTGTGAAAACTGGTAATGACATTTTGAACCTGTACTCCACGTCATTCATTTGCACAAAAGCCTTATAAGCATGCAATAAACCAGTATACCCACATAACTGTAGTTTTAGTCTCATCTGTTCTCGGGGTTAACATTCAACACGGCTTTGTTTCCAAAGACAAAAATAACTGCAGCTTTCCAAACACAAATGTTGCCAAATTGGTGGATATTTTAAAGAAAAAAAAGTGAGTTTTGGAGTTTAACTATGTGTAAAAATGTGTTTTGTGAACTATGCGCTACTCTTAGAAGCTGCTTCAGAGCTTCTTCTTTTAACATCCCAGTTATAAACTCTTGCCATATCTGATAGACAATTGGTTAAGGACAAATCAAATATATCACTGTCAGTTACCATGAGTTCAATGCTGACAACTCCCGAGTGTCACTAGTGATAAGCTTCATAAAAAATGAGCTCCTCAAATTGACAAGGCTTTATCTCTGGTTGATTAGTATGGAACATAATGGCTGTAGCACAACATTTACATCGCAGAGGACATGGGCTCAAGTCCCACTACGGCACATTATTCATTTAAACTTTAAAGTATGATATCACATGGATTGCTGTGAAATCCATTATAAATACCAAAGCAATAAGGAGCCTGACAACACTCTCTGTTCTGGTCTAAATTTGAACTTAATCCCACATTACTTCGTCAGTTCTTAATTTCTCCAATACAATCTTTGTTCTTTCTGGCATATTGATTAATATCATAGTAAGGGCCTATCTTCTTCAAGGCTATGGCTGTAGTTATGAATGAATCTTGTGCATAACTAATTTATCCAGTCACCACATTTGCATGGACAACATCATGCTCACTTTTCCAGCTACTCCCCCTCCTTAACACCTCCAAGATCATCTAGAACCAGGATAACATTTAGCTTATTTTCTTTGGTTCCTTCCCTATTGCACTGCAAACCCTCTCCTAAATCACGTCATCTATGGCACATAACTGATTCCATTCAAACTGGTAACGCCCCACATTCCCACCAATGTGTCACTCTGGTCCCCACGATAGCTGACACTGTAAACAGGAACTTAGAAATTGATAGCTAAAGACCAATATCCACCTCTATTATCCTGGTAACCAAATGATACAATAATAAGTTTTTAATTAATTGTACAATCTCTACAAATCAGTCTACAACAGACTTTGAAACAACGCAAGGAAATGCCATCAGTGATGCATTTGGGGAATCACAGGTCATCTTTTTCTTCCTAAATGTTCTACAGACGTTTCTCAGATTAGTCATGCATTTTACATTCCAAAATATTATCTTCTGAAAAATTCAATTTATAGCTAATTAAATTAATAGTTACCAGTCTTCCTTATTAATCTATTCTATAGATTGGCTACATGTTTACAAAACAGTGTTTCTGCAGATTAGTTTTGAATTTCTCTCTCTTCAGGTGCAGGTGGTGCCCTTTATTGGAAACTGAACATTTCTGCAGTTTTGCTTTTGCCAATACCACTCAACTCTTCTAGGAGTGAAATGGGAGCTGATTATCAAGGAATCATTGAACAACATGGAACCAAGGAGCCCAGGACAGTTTGTTGCTCTTATGAAGAAAGACTGAACAGATTGTGTCTATACCCATGGGGGCTTAGAAGAATGAGAAATAATCTTGTTGAAACACAAGATCCTCAGGGGCTTGCTGAGGTCAATATCAGGAATATGTTTTCTCTCATGAAGATTTTAGATCTAAGCAGTACAAGAATAAGAGATATTACTTCTAAGAGAGATGAAGAGACTTTGCTCTCTCAGATGGTCATCAGTTTGTGGAGAGATAGTAGGAACTGCAGATGCTGGAGAATCTGAGATAACAAGGTGTAGAGCTGGATGAACACAGCAAGCCAAGCACAAAAGCCGCCTTCTTCATTTTCTGAAGAAGGGTCTAGACCTGAAACGTCAGCTTTCCTGCTCCTCTGATGCTGGCCTGCTGTGTTCATCCAGCTCTACACCTTGTTATATCAGTTTGTGGAATTCTCTTTTGCAGAAAGCAGTGGAGGCTGGATCATCGAATTCTTTGAGGCAGAGTTAGATAGATCTGATTGACAGGGGAGTCAACAATTACAACAGGCAATTAGGAAAGTGGAATTGAGGCCATAATCAGATCAGTCATAATCCTACTGAATGGAAGAACAGACTCAAAGGGCCAAATGCCCTAAATCTCCTCTCAAGTCATATGCTCATAACAGAGAGTCAAAGTGAATAACAGTGAAAGGGTAAACCCTTCAATTCCAGTTAACATACCTGCAACACAGCTATGATTTTTGGAGACCAATTTTCTCTCACCAGACTTTGTTTCAAGAATTTGTCAAGTCACTATCTATCGACTGTATAACCAGAGGCTTCATCATTAGATTAGGAATGGACCTTTTTTATTAATTTACAGGATGAGGGCGTCGCTGGCTAGGCAGCATTTATTGCCCATCTCTAATTGCCCAGTGGGCAGTTCAGAGTCAACCATATTGCTGTGGGTCTGAAGTCACATGTAGGCCAGACCAGGTAAGGATGGCAGTTTCCTTTCCTAAAGGACATTAGTGAATCAGATGGGTTTTTTTAACAATCGACAATGGTTTCATGGTCATTGCTCATGATTCTGTGTTAAGCTTCATTCAGAACTGTTTCAATAACAAAACAGTTTGGGATGGCAAATGGTGGGTTAATACCTAGGTTTGGCCTGACAAATGCTACCTTCCACCTTCCAATTATTTCTCCATAATTTCCAACACCACCACCTGTTCGGAGTTCCCCATCAGGAGCAATTTTTTGGTTTCCACTTATCAGAAGCTTAGTTGAACCATATCAATCAACAGTCTAAATACAAAAGCAGGCAAATGGTTAGGTAACACTGCAGTAACTGGCTCAGCTTATGACCCAGCAGAACTTGTCTCCCATCAACAAGGTTCAAGTTAGAGAGGCGAAAAAATACTTACCACTCACCTATATGGGTACAGCCATTATAACACAACACCGTCAACAATCCAGGCCAATGAAGCCTGCCTGATTAACATTCCTGCCTGTAACTTAATATCCAATCCTTTTGTTATTAACACACTGATTGCATTTGTACTGGTTGTAAGATGACTTTGAATATAAACCTTGTCTCAATCATAACAGGGTAAAATTACCGAAATTTCCTACTAACCACCAATGTGCAAACACCATTAACACAGACACTACAGTGGTTCATGGAAGTCCAGTAACTCAAGCGCAGGCAATAAATGCAGCCCTTCTGATGTTGTCCATAATGGGATCATTCAAAGAACACAGAATTTCAGTCAGAAGTCTATTATAATTGGCCTTAATACGCCCCAATCCCAAATGTGTAAAACTGCAATCAATATCTTGCCCTATAATCATGCCAGTGCTGCACACAAGGACGCCACAAAGATATTTTCTTATCAGCCTACTCAAGGATATTACTGCACATTTCTGCAGCAGGTAGGACTTCAATCCAAGCCTCCTGGCTCAGAGACAGGGACACTATCACTGTACTGAGGCCCTTGCTTGAAAGTATGTACTTTTAATCAAATTGTTCAGACACATTATGGCACACCTCTGGATCAGTTGGGACTTGAAGCCAGGTCTTCTGGCCCAGAGGAAGGGACACTACCACTCCAAAAGGATCAAGTGAATATCAGGCTCAGCTGTGACATACAGATGTCAAATGATCCACTAACGTTCATTATTTCAGTTCAAGCTTGAATAATGGTTATTTGTGAGATGTAGTGAAAAGGATAAATTGCTCACAGAACCATTTTCCTGCATAAGTTAATATCTTCAGTAAGAGGAGAAAAAAAAACTGAAGAATAAAAGGGCAAACAACAAAAGCGCCATAAAGCGTATCTGTTCATGTGTTCTCCAATGTGGAAACACTGCCAGATCATCTGGTCAAATTTATAGCACTAGAACATATGAAATATGAGCAGGTGGTGGCCATTTGGCCCCTCAAGCATGTATTGCTATTCAACAAGCAAATAACTGATCTGCCCCAGCCTCAACTCCTCTTTGGTGCTTGCTCAGATATTTCAAAGACTTAGCTCACTTTTGAACACTTTTAATGATTAAGCCTTCACAATTCTGTTGGGTACAGAATTCTAGATATTCACTACCCTCTGGGAGAAGAAATTCCTTTGCATCTCAATTTTAAATGAGTGAACCCTTACTCTGTAACTAAGCCCTCTAGTTCGAGATGCCCCCACTAGTGACAACAGCTACCCTGTCAAGCACCCCCAGAATCTTGTGTGTAGCAATAAGATCAACCCACATTATTTTAAACTCTAATAAATAAAGGCCTAACCTGTTTACCTAGTAGGCATACATTTTCCCTCTAGGATGACAAAATATTTTATTTTATAAATCACTTTGCAGAAACATCCATTCTTTACCTCAGCAATACAAAATGAGAGATGTGGTGAGACAGAATAGATAACTAATAAGTTTATTGCAAAGTTAAGCGGACTAATGTACACTGACAATTTCATTGACAACAGAGATATTGATACACAAACGGTAGAATGCAACTTTACTCCAAGATGAAGCGGGTAAACTGGCAAGAGTACGGCAAATCACAATAGAGCATATTTACACTAAAAAAATTCCAGATATGTCAAGTTCCCTGCAACTGCATCTCATTAAACTCTTGGCTTATTGCTGTTCTCACTCATCCCTTCCCAAACAACTTATTAAATTTTTTTTTAAAATTACTCCACAAACTTTTGAAGTACATCCAGCTTTGAATAGTTAAATTTTGCACAATAGTAAAGTCATGGTCACCAGTGTCAAGTATGCAAATGAAACTCAATTGCTCCCCATGCATTTTCTTTCATATTCAGCAAGCATCATTTGTATTCAATGCGCAACTGCACAGATTGTTCGAGATATCGAAGTCTACCTGTCTTAAATGCATTACTGGGAGAAAACACAGTAAGCAAGATGACTGCTCTGCCATGACAAAACCAATGGCAAATCTGAAATAATCTGATGGGGGAAAAAAAGCACGTGGTAGCTTAAGTGTGGATTCATACTGACAAGCATCATTTTGTTCACTTACTCTCTCAATCTGTTGTCAATTGTAGTTTACCTCATAAAACAAATTATAAAGAAAATGTTAACAGAAATCTCACCAAAAATCTGCGTAAGAATGAAGTTGCCATTTCTCAGTGTTATTTTGGTATAAAGGATACTGACTTCTGTGGTGGTGAACTGATCTCGAAGGAAGTCCAGATCTTCTTCTAGTCCTTCCAGATTACGGGTTGCAGTTGTCAGATTCTTCTCGAGTAATGCTTGAGCCTCATCAATGTCATATTCAAGCATTACATTAGCCTGTGTAAGACAGAGACACATCTTATATTATTGCCAATCCCCACACTCATCCATTGCTTTTTCTAGGTCCTCAAGAGTATGGCTCCACATGTACTTGGAACTTAATACAACGAGCTGTTTTCCAGCAGTGAGCTGGGTAGCGAGCACCAGCAGACTATTTACCTGTCGGGTATACAGTTGGACCTGTCCATTTAATTCCCACAGGTGCACTTTCTAGCTGAGGCCTGTGGACAATGATCGACATGAGGATTCTTCCCACCTATAGTCCAGGGACTGCAAGGTCAACAATAATGACGCTGTTACTGAATTGGAGACACTCACTCAGAAGAGGGTAAGACTCTCATCCACATGGATCTGCTCACATTTCCTTTACAACTGAGCCAAAGGTGCAGGGAGAGAAAAGTAACTGTACAATTCCTAATATTGAAAACTAAAATCGTTATGCATATGTAGTGCATGGCTACTGACAAAAACATTTTTAGCCTGAGTAACATGAATTCATATATATTAGTGTAATAATCCGAGCATCCTCATTACAATGAAAACAAGAATCATCACACTTACTCTTAAAGTTTTCTTTCAAGTATCTCAACATCTCCCTATGTACCCATTCTTCTACAATCTACAGGCTGGCAGAACCCAATATTTTCATCACCTAACTACTGCGTTATGATCTGTTCTATCTTCTCTCTGACTAATTCCAGTCTAGGCAGGATCCTGTATCTCCAGATTTTAAATTTCTTCTAGATTACTCAATAATAAGGAAAAGAAACATATGCATTGATGAAAGTTACCCTGTTTCTGGAAGAACCTGGGGAACAACTAAATGTCTGTCTTACACATAGGGTACCCTGTTTGTCTGTCCTAGACTGGTCAGAAGAATAGGGTACCCTGTTTGCCTGTCCTAGACTGGTCAGGAGATGTACACTATTCACTGAAATAATTAAATGGCTGTGTAATATGACAATTATTTTGACAACAGAATGAAGATATATCTGTTTTAGTTGCTTACAGATTTCTAGTGCCCATAGTAATATACTTTTCAGCTTGCAGGTCTATTTTGGAACGAGCAGTCCTAATGCCTGTATCTCAAATAAATGCACAATATAGGGTGTACAACAATGAAATATCAGGAAGTATTTGTTTCTCATGATACTCTGCAGATTTTGCTCCCATCACATATTTTTGCAGCATCTAGCTGAAACATGCTGTACAAAGGAGAAACCATAGCTCTGAACTTACCCCCAACCATAAGCACACTTTATCCGTAGGAGTGATAGATGCTTTAGCATACAAGTTATCTGCAAGGAGAAACAGCGTCTCCATGGGATCTGTGGAATCCTTTAAAACAAAAAGCAAACAGATGTAGGGCTGCATTACACTTGAATTAACCAAGTAATCTTTCTCTCATTTCTGTAAGATGCACATCATCTGCAGTGGCACCATATGTAGTTACAGCAATGTATATGACACAATGTCACAAAAATAAATGTCATAGGAATAACAAGTTGGTTAATGAATAGTAACCAAGATTACAGTTTATTAACTTTGGATTGAAGACCAGTTTGAAGTTGTGTACCCCTCAAATCACTAGTAGTGTCACAATGGTTAACAGTTAAAAAAGGTCACAAAGAAAATTGAAACAAGAAAGAAATGTAAAATAGTTAAAGCAAGAAATATTTGGTAATGGGAAAGAGGCAGATAAAACTGACTTTTAAAGGGCAAATAGATTTGAAATAAAAGATAATGCAGGGCCAAAGTGAAACAGTTGTAGTAAGAATTGGGTATGAGGGGTAAAATTGCATCTTATGTTGCAAACCTATACCTCTATAGCCACAGAGACTCAGATCCATAGAGATATACAACACGGAAACATACCCTTCGGTCCAACTCGTCCATGTCGACCAGATATTCTAAATAAATCATTCGTCCCATTTGCCAGCATTGGGCCCACATCCTTCTAAACCTTTCCTATTCATAAACCCATCCAAATGCATTTTAAATGTTGTAATTGTACCAGCCTCTACCACTTCTTCTGGCAGCTCATTCCATATACACAGCACCCTCTGCGTGAAAAAGTTGCCCGTTATATATCTTTCCCCTCTCACCTTAAACGTATGCCCTCTAGTTTTAAACTTGCTCACCCTGGGGAAAAGATCTTGCCTAATTAGCCCATACATGCCCCTCATGATTTTATAAACTTCTAAAAAGGTCACCCCTCAGCCTCTGACACTCCAGGGAAAATAGTACCTGCCTATTCAGCTTTTCCGTATAGCTCACACCCTCCAAACCTGGCAACATCCTTGTAAATCTTTTCTGAATCCTTTCTATTTCACAACATCCTTCTTACAAGAGGGAGACCAGAATTGCACTCAATACTCCAAAAGTGACCGAACCAATGTCCTGTACAGCCGCAACATGACATCCCAACTCTTATACTCAACGCACTGACCAATAAAGGCAAGCATACCAAACACCGCCTTCACTATCCTATCTACCTGCAACTCCACTTTCAAGGAACTATGAATCTGCACTTCAAGGTCTCTTTGTTCAGCAAACATTCCCCAGGACCTACCATTAAGTGTATAAGTCCTGACCTGATTTACCTTTCCAAAATGCAACACCTCACATCTATCTAAATTAAACTCTATCTGCCACTCCTCGGCTTATTGGCCCATCTGATTGAGATCCTGTTGTACGTTGAGGTAACCTTCTTGGTTGGCCACCACACCTCCAATTTTGGTGTCATCTGCAAACGTACTAACCATACCTCCTATGTTCACATCCAAACCATTTATATAAATGATGAAAAGCAGTAGACCCATCAGCAATCCTTGTGGCACACCACTGGTCACAGGCCTCCAGTCTGAAAAGCAACCCTCCACCACAACTCTACATTCTACCTTTGAGCCAGTTCGGTATTAAAATAGCTTGCTTTCCCTGTATTCTATGTGATCTAACCTTGCTAACCAGTCTGCCATGAGGAACCTTGTCAAATGCCTTATTGAAGTCCATATCAATCACATTCACCATTCTGCCCTCATCAATCCTCTTCGTTATTTCTTCAAAAAACTCAATCAACTTAGTGAGACACAATTTCCCATGCACAAAGCCATGTTGACTATCCCTAATCAATCGTTGCCTTTCCAAATCCTGTTCCTTAGGATTCCCTCCAACAACTTGCCTACCACCAATGTCAGGCTCACCAGTCTATAGTTGCCTGGCTTTTCCTTACCATCTTTCTTAAATAACAGCACAACGTTAGCCAACCTCCAGTCTTCAGGCAATTCACTTGTGGCTATCAGTGATACAAATATCTCAGCAAGGGGGCCAGCAATCTCTTCCCTCGCTTCTCACAGAGTTCTAGGATACACCTGATCAGGTCCCAGGGATTTATCCAGCTTTATGCATTTTAAGACATCCAGCACCAACTCCTCTGTATTTGGACATTTTTCAAGATGTCACTATTTATTTCCCCACGTTCTCTAGCTTCCATATCCTTCTCCACAGTAAACACTGATACAAAATACTCATTGAGTATCTCCCCCATCTCCTGCGGTTCTACACACAGGGGGCCTTGCTGATCTTTAAGGAGCCCTATTCTCTCCGTAGTTACCCTTTTGTCCTTAATGTATTTGGAGAATCCCTTTGGATTCTCCTTAACCCTACTTGCTAAAGCGAATGGATTTGATTCCACCTTTGGGTGACTGTCTGCAGAGTTTGCATATTCTCCCCATGTCTGCATGGGTTTCCTCCAGGTGCTCCAGTTTCCACCCACAGTCCAAAGCTGTGCAGGTCAGGTGGATTGGCTATGCTAAATTGCCCATTGTGCCCAGGGATTTACAGATTAGGTGTGTTAGCCATGGGAAATGCAGGGTTACAGAAATAGGGTAGGGGTGAGATGCTCTTCCGCGAGTTGGTGTGGATTTGTTGGGTCGAATGGCCTGTTTCCACACTGTAGGGATGCTATGATTCTATTTCATGTCCCCTTTTGGCCCTCCTGATTTCCCTTTTAAGTATACATCTACTGCCTTTATGCTCTTCTAAGTATTCAC